CCCCAAAACCCCAAAACCCCAAAACCCCAAAACCCCAAAACCCCGTGAAGTGAGTAGTTGGTTGAATATGAAGTTGTATAAAATCAGGTTATGATTGAGAATAGATGGTTAACATGGGGTTAGGAAGTTATAAACCTCAGTATGTTCCTTAGTGTAGAAGTAATGCTGTTATCTAATTTCACCGATCATTCTTGATCAAGAATAAGCCCTTTGATACGGTGGTTCTCTCAATAGGTGTAGAATTTTGAATAATCATCAATGATAAATTCGCAGCCTGTGAAATGAATCTTAATTCCTTGCTTTCAATTAGCAACAAGTTCTTCAAGTCTGGCCTGAGTCATGCTAAATTTGTTGATCTCCAGCTTTCCTTCAACTTTATCACTCGTTGAAATGATCAATGAATGATATTTATCGATTTTGAAATGATTCCCATAAAGATCTGCTGACCATTTTAAATGCTGAATTTTGTTAGGAAAGAAATTTCTTGCAAAATTAAAAAAATCTCCATAAATAATGTCTGAGCATGCCAGTTCCAGATATTTTAAGTTTGGGAAGCGAATCTGGCATGAGCCGAAAAATTGTAAGTGTTTAGGGTCTGATAGGTAATAAGACACTCTTTGGCCTTCTGTTGGAAATAGATTTCCTCTTGCTAAAGTTTCATCTTCCATATGTTGATCATCTTGATCTCCTTGTCTGCTTTCCTTCCGATCTTCACTCACATTCTGGTCATCAGGTTGACTATATGGGTAGTTCTAAATTGTTTAGAAAATAAATTTACTGTTGGAGTACGATTTAGTTTCAGAGGCTCTCGATCAGGCTCCATCTCTATGTTTGAAGGTGGATACACTTTCTCTTCTCCATTGATATATATTTCTGGATAAAATATTTTTGGAGCAGAAGATACAGAAACATCTGAATACTCAAGAGAGGAGTGAGGACTATTTGATTGAATATTGTCTGAAAGATTGCTATTATTTTCAAGATCAGGGATGCTTGAGTTTATTTCACAATCTTCCAAATTATCTTTAAATTCCTCTTTTGAAGTTTGAAAATTTTCAGCTTTCTGTAATTTTGGGTTAAGAGTCTCATATGGGTCCTTCTCAGCAATGATCAAATCCTTCATAAGGATTTGCTTGATGGTAGATGATTTCTTTGGCTTTCTCTTAAGAAAATTCTTGCGTTTACTAGTTCCTTCTTTACTTTCTTCGGTATCATTTTTCTCTTGTACTCCAATGATTTCTTCTAACTTCTTTCTTTGGTTTTTCCCTTCTCTTTTATTTCTAACATTTCTACGCTTCTTTTCTCTTGGAGACTTCATTGAAGCTGTAGAATTAGTGCCTGAAGCTTTATTGAGAGCGCTGACCTTGGCAGTCTGATGAGTATTTTTGGCACTTGGGTCAATGAAGTTTTTCTCATCTTCCTTTAGCAATCTGAGCAATTCATTAATATTAGCTTGGGTTGCCTGCCCTCTTTTAAATTTTTTGACAAGATTACTTGCCAGATCCATTTTTCCTTTCAATTCATTGATATCTTTGTCTTTCTGGTCCATTATTTCTTTATATTCTTCGATCTCCTTTTGCTCATCGCTCAGATAATAAGCCAACAGTTTTTTAGATCCAAAGTTTTTAAAAGAACTGTTATTTTTCTATTTTAGAGGTAAGAGCGAAAACTCTCTTATTTAAAAGCTGAATGTCAGCCTTGTCTTTAATATTTTCCTTCAGTTCTTTTCAGTTGTTGTCTATTTCATGTTTGAAATCATTAAATCTTTGCTGCTGATCTTGACTTACGCCATCATCTTTTTGAACAAAACTCTGTAAGTGGCTAAGACACTTTTCAATAATATTCACTTGCTTCAATCAAGGTTTATATTTTTCGTTTATCACTGGAAGTAAATGAGGTTGCTGAGTATCTTCAGTGTTTATAGCTGAGACTGTATAAAGTTCAGAGGCTTGCTCAATCTCAGAAACTGTAACTCTGTGTTGATCGTTATTCATTAATATCCTTAATCGATGTATCTAATAATTATTAGTATTCAACCTCATAGCATTTAAATGGGGTTTTGGGGTTTTGGGGTTTTGGGGTTTTGGGG